GTGCCGCATCACCTGACGGTTAGAGTACTGGCGATCCTAATTTTTGTTTGGCTCACCAGAGTGATTTCTCACCCCACTGTTCTCCCAGCAGAAGTATTTAACAAGTCTTTAACAGTTTTGAGACACCTTTGACGTTTGCTGAGCATCATCACCTCCGAACGTTGCCAGTTCTAGATCACGATGAGGTGCTTTATCGATTAGAAATATAAAGTCCCAGTAAATAATTTAATTCAGCGTTGAAATAATTTTTGAGACCTTATCTGCCCAACATTCAGATGGCCAGAACTTTCATTTTGGTATTCATGATACTACTGGAATACAGTCAAAGCACTGACCAAGACTACTCATACATCATTACTCATCACTTCCAGTTAGTCAATGTGTCCTGCCGAAACCTTTTTTATTTTAGAAGTCCGACTTGTTGGAGTCGTATGACCTCATTTCGAATATATTCACTAGGAGTCTAGCAAATTTGAATAGCTGTACCTCTACTGACGTACATCAGAACAACAGAAAACAGCATGAACGTAAAGCCACACAGACAGAGTTTATTATCGAGGTAACTGCAAAAACTCCCCCAACCACCACAATAATAGACCGTGCCCTTTACCTGTCTAACTTTCCAGTTCCCCTCTCCCTAGACTTTCCTCCTCCCCTTCCTTACCCATAAGCAGTCACATGGCTACGAAAAAAGGAAGTGAACTGAAAGCGTTTTAGCCGCATGGATTGGCGTGAAGCGAAAAGAAGGGAATAAACAAAATTGGTTGCAGTGCCGAAGCTAACATCACGTTGAATGTGAACTGGTTCACGGCAAACCGGATCAGTGTTATGTCAAACAGATTTTATTGTTTTGTATGATTATAATGATATCCTACATCTTGCTCAAACTGTTGTCGAGGTAATAATCCTTTCAAACGATGGGATCTTTAGCAGATCTTTAGCAGTCCTGTCGTTTTAAAGGATTATTACTTCGGCAGCCATGTAGAAATGACCGTCAGGATTGTTAGCAGGCTGACCACCAGGTGATGCAACATTGAAAAAGTTGCCAGTTGCATAGTTTGAAAACTGCACTATGAATTGCAGCTGATCAAACTAAGGTCAAGAAAAAATTTGCTTGGAGGACATGACCTTATTTCGTCACAGCTAACTTCTTTTCTCTTGCTGTTGTCTTTATTATTTTTTACGTCACGCTATTTTCGAAACTGTTGTTTGCACAGGTCCAGAAACCAGCGGTTCGGCTAAATCAAATGAAATTAATTGAGTCTTCTGCAACTTGCAAAATCATCCCCTCTAGCACTTTTCCTTACCATTCAGGAACAATTTTGCAAAGGCATATCAGTTGTAGCTTTAATATTGAGTGGATGAAGACAGCTGTAGGGAGATAGAGGAAAAATACAAAAAGATGAAGAGGAAGACTGTGGAGCTAAAGTCATGTGACAAGCGGCTTGGTTGACATATGCGACTCGCATTTTTTTATGAAGAAATATTCACAAAATCATTCTGCCTGTGTTTCATCCCTTAGCAAGTCGTGCATAGATAGTTGTACTTCCAATAAAAGTATTTACCTGTAAGACAGAAAGCTGCTTGCATAAAAAAAAATATTGCCTCAAGTTGCTCTTGGCTTAACCAATTTTGTATTTCACTATCATAAATATGGTTCACGGGGGATATGCAGGCATGCAAATTAGTGATAATTAAAGCG